TACGTAAAAAATGGTTTCACTGGGTGCACGATGTTCTGACTTTACAGAGGAACTAAAGTAAGTGTAAATTGAACCAAGTGAGGTAAAGCCTAACTAACATTCAATGAACTTGCAAGATTACAAAAGTAAATCAGTCTTTTGTTTAACTATGATAGTGTGCGAAAATTCAACATGTGCATCTTGGTTTCAGTTTTTTCATTGTTATGGGTATGTTAAGTATTTTCATCAATTGACTTCATTAATTTAGAGTGCGAATGTGCTCTGTGAACACTATTATACATGTCCTTAATTGTGACAGATTGTAATAATTCTGAATAAATAAGTTTATAAAAAAAATATATATATTAATTGACGTATTTGGAATTGCAAATAACAAAAACTAAATTATAAAATTGCTATTTTAATATTTTTTTAATGAATCAAAAACTTCAAATTCATTAAAATGTTACTTAATGAATTTTATGTAAAACGACGATATAACGAAAAAGTAATTAATTAATCGAACTGTCAGTTCCTGAAATTAGGACATCTAAATTACGAAGGACATCAAAACTCACATAATAATTTTATGTATAATATCTTTTTATACATGATAACGGACTTAAAATTACTCTGTGGTCTTCCCATAATATTTCTACTTATTATGAAATAAAAAAACTATATTTTCAATATTAATAGAACATGGCAATGCTTAATCGAAATTAAATAGTTCATGACAATGCTTAATCGAAACGATGTCATTTTTTCTGATCATAAAAAAAAAAAAAATAGTAAATATAATTTTAGCTAAAACACCTCAGTACCTTTTCATATGTACATTCAAAACATAAGATTTGATCGCTGATATCAATAAAGCGGAAATCACGGAATTCAAATACGCAGCAGGGATGAAATATACACTCTTCGTGTTATTAAAATTAAAATTATTCGTTCATTGATATATGAGGGTGCTTATATTCAGGAGAAAAGTAACGATGACCATTTTGTGTCTGTAGTTGCTAATTACCTCGTGTTAAACAAATAAGATAAAGCGAATTAGCAAACACTCCTGGGAATATGTGAGTTAATTGACAGCATTGAAGGTATTGACCAACAGTGGGAAACTGAACAGCAAACTCACACATACAACACTTAGTCGCTCTAACACGCTAGCTCCAACCTTGGCCTCTGATTTTTAACCACCATCACATTTCACAATCTTTCTTTCTTTGTATTCACTTGATGGCTACCGTAAATAACGAATAATGTTTAAAGAGGTGATGAAATAGACATCATGAGTATCAAAAAAGATCCCATTTCACACAGAAAATGGGGAAACTTAAGTTTTGTGTTTAAGAAAAAAGATATCAGGTAATTTCCAGTTACATCGCTGTAAGGAAGATTAAATTCTCTTAAAAACAAGTAGACTTTTTTTTTTTCGAAATCATCCCAAAGGAGGCTTATTAATACAAAGTGCTGTTTCTCATAAAGCCATAAATTATTCGTCTCCCCCAACCCTCCACGATTTAATAAAAAAAACTTCGTTTTTTATTTCATTACATATTTTCATTAATATGTTTTGTATTTCATTTAAGAGCATATTGAAATAATAATAATATTTATTATTATCAACTTTCTTATATTAATGGATGTATTTACCTATTACGAAACTATTAGGAGAAGAATTTTTTTAGGGGTCACTTATTTATTTAATTTTGCATATATGCATAATTATGAAACTGTTTATGTATTCCTATCTACCTGCTGCTAATTTATTTTCTTTACACATATGTAAACTCTGACAAGCGTATCGCAGAGGCGATCTCCAATGTTAACATTTACTCTTAAAACTCTAACTTAAAACATTTACTCTAGAAATAAAATTAAAAGCGTCTTTCAATTTTAAAGATTGTGATTTTATCAATTCGATTTGATAGGATAAGTTTAAAATATAATAAAATTGTAATGGGATCAATGTAGATTTTGTATTTTTTTTCTGATGAAATAATAAATAAAAATCAGAGGTAAAGGTAACATTTTTTTTTTTCAATCGGCACAACTGCAAGTTTAAAAATAATTTGAAATTGTATTTTTTTTTTTTTTTACATTAAAAGCTTGTTTTTGTTAATTTTTTATTTTGATAAGAATAGACTTAAACATGCCTTGGCACTTCCGTCTATTTACTTTCTTAATGTAACGATTCGCAACAGTTTTCCATTGTCAAAAAATTCACTATTACATTATTATATTATCACTTTACCTCCTGGATTAATAAATAGGTAGCAATATGAAGACGTGTTATTAATTATTCCTTTATGTATATAAAATTTGAAAACAATCTGTTTCTAAGAGAAGGATATAAACTATCGCCCATCTCTACAACGGACCTTTGACTACGGAGTATTCATAAAAGAATCGAGTATATATTTCCGAAGAGGCAGCCTGACATATCCTTTACGGTTATTATTAGAATTAATCTTATGGCATCCTTCACCTCTGACCAACCAGAGGACGTCCCCGCTGGGTTGCAAAGAGGTTGCGCCACAGTCTCCAAAAGTCAGCATCATCAGCGGAGTTGAGTTGAGAAACTCGCAGCGTTGTTGCGCAGACACTTCCTAGAACAGAACTATTAATCCGTCAAGATGAATGTTAGCACTGGTTATCACGAACAATAAAACCGCCATTGAATGCATTTCCAACGAATGAAAGCGACGGACCTGAATCACATGTTGCGTTGTTGCTGGTCAACGTAATCAAAGGATCACTTTACATGTTCAAGGGACATTATATTTATAAATATTCAGCTCAATTCGTTGTATGAATAATTATTTTACTTAACTTAGTTAATGTATAATTTCAAAATTGATAGCATCATATCTTTTTATCATTAACATCATAACATCATCTACTATTTATTATTTTCTCTTCCTTTCTATGTTTGTTTTGTGTCTTGCGTTTTTCAATATGGATTGAGTGCGAATGTCAATTCAAAACTTTTTGAACTATAATTTGTTGCTTTGTTAAATTTGAATTTTTATCTCTAAATTATATAAAAAAGTATTTAGTGATGACCGTGTAATATTTTATTTTACACATACGAGACGGGACGGGCAATAACGAAGACAACACACTTCTTATTTCCAGAATTTTTTCTCCCTTATATCGGTTAAAATTGGCTATAATAATAATTTTTATTATATAATAATATAAATTGGCTATGTGGGGGGTGTATAATATAAATGTTTAAAGAAATAAAAAAATTGTCCGAACTGAGGTTTCGTTCTGTATATTTTATGTTGATAAAAAATAATACAATCTGAACTACAGAATATATGTAAATTACTGTTATAAAATTTAAGCAACGAGTAGTACAATAAATGATCACTTGTTTAATTTGTGAAATGGGGGTGGGTGGGCAGAGGGTACTATCCTAGTTTAGATAAATTTAAATTTATTCTAAATTAATAAGTTTAGAGTGAGCAATATAAACATTTACAAACATAAAAAAAAATGGATGTCATCTCTAATGGATCTTATTATTTCTCTTTCTGCTATAGTTCAGATTTTTATATTTTTTTTTATAGATAATGAAAGACATAAATATTATTTTTAAGAATGATATTAAGAAAAATGAATGAATATACTAACAATATTTTAAAGAGGGAATTCGTAAAAAAAAATTAATAATCAGAACCTATGATGAATTGCGGAGTGTATTTATTCGAATGCCACATAAGTTAATACAATTTTTTAATGCTATTATTCGTTTGTTATTTATTGGATCATAGTCCTTTAGTAAAAATTCTATATGTATTATTAAAGGTACATTGTGCCATTTGCCTCTTGTGTCTCATTCAATCAGAAGAATCTATCAGTTTTAAGACAATGGTACTAATGGAAAAATGCAATACAGAATGTCTCAAATCAAAAAATGTAATAAGATTTAGAATAAGATAAACAAAAAAACCAGAAAAAATAAATAAATAACACGCGGTATTTATAGGTTAAACCTGTACCACTACAACCCATGAAGTGTCTTGGGTTCAGTACTATTTAGGGAAAGCACTGTTTCTAGGTCAACGGTTGCGGAAGAAGATGATTTGACCGAGATCACGCTCAACCTCCAGGTTTTCCCCTTGATCAATTATTTAATTATGGGTACCCACTTTATAGTGGCTAGGTGTGCCCCAGGAGGGTCTCTCGATCCAGGGTCAGCCCATGGCCAATGAAACAGATAAATAAATTTTCTGCCATGAGCCACCCCACTCCCATTCATAATTTAAAAATATGAGAAAATAAAATTATTGAATAAAAGAAACTCATAAACAATAAAAGAAAAATTATTAAGTACAATGAAAAAAATATGAATAGCAATTGTAAGAAATTAGAGATTGATACGAAGTAAGTAGTTAATTTTTTTTATTTGTTTATTGAGTACTACAAATATCTGTCGCTTGGAAATTAGTTGTAGTGAGGTTTTTAAATAAATTATAATAGCATGATAAGCATATATTGAATAATTTTTTTTCAAAGATTTACATCCGTACCAATCATTAATTAAAAATTAGTAGATGAGCTGTTGCGAATCATATTGAATAAAAATAAAAATATTAATATTTTTATGTAAGAAAATAAAATATTTTACTAATTTTATGAGAAATTGAAACGCATTTCAGATAGCTCTGATTTCCTTATGAATTATTCTCATGATAAGGAGCACACTCGAATCTATTTCCTAATGGCGAACTATTTACCGATCAATCAATACTTAAGAAATGCATTAAGAGGGAAATACTTATCGTTACAATTAATGTCAAACTTCAACAAGCTTATCACTAAAATATAAATATTTGTTATGAGAATCATGAATTCTTCCTATGGCTCTAAGATTTACTGATAATATAAACAATACATTTAAGAGTTTTACTATTTAGTTATTTTATTATGTGGTATAGGTATATTTTTGATTTAATGAATCTTAAGAATCATGACCCATACTTAATTTTTTTTTAATTTTTCAGAGAGAACTTTTGGTGATCCTCTGTGGAATGGTTGCTGCAGGACTTGGAAGGCCGCAGGTCCAGTCTTCACAAGGACCTAATACAACTCCAATCCCCATTCTAAAATACGAAAACGAGGGAGTCAATTACGACGGATCCTATAAATGGAGGTAAGATGTTTCAATAGAACATAAAGTGCTTGAGTACTACATTAAAATTAAAGATTAATTTTGAATTCTGATCCTTGAAGTTATATTTACCTATATATTATATATTTACATGTGAATTATATATCGAAATTTTATTTTATTTGATTAAGAATCTTAATAATTCCATAAACTAATAATACTATGGCTTCATAATTATAGATTAAATAGCTTCATTATCTGTCATCAACGTATGTTATGCTGCTATGTTGCTGATGTGCTAAAACTTTATCGTGCATTTATATAATACAAAACATGAATTATAATATGTAGTTTACTCCACAGATGAATTATAACATACATAATAGATATTCGCCAATTAGTAAACAAGATATTTTTTACCAAAACAATCAATAAGCTAAAAGGAGTTTTGCAATCAGCTTGTCACAATCGTTTTTTTTGATAGATTTCTAATTTTTGAATTCAAATCTTCCTGAGAATAATTTCCAAAATTTCATTAATAAATCAATTCTAGCCTACCTAAATTTAAATTTTTTTTCCGGTGATAATTCAAAGATTTTAATTATTTCACCATGCTCGTGACCATCCCGTGTTTTTCATTCACAAATCCACAAAAAATGTTGTATTGTAGCTAATACTTCATATAATTTGTGTAATAAATGTACCATTACCGAAAATAAGGCCTTTAAGTTGAAGCTAAACAGGTTTAAGGAGACTACTTTAGTCATATCTGTTTTTGTGCAACAAATAAATCTTAAATTCATAAATTATTAATTATAAAGAATTAAAATTACGGTGGACTTAAGATCAGATTAAAACAGGTAATGAATCGGTTGATTAGATTCATCTTTTGAGTTCCCAAGCACTCCCACATCTTCAGTTGGTAAGCCGTGTTGAAGTGATTCTATCCAGTTTTCTGGCCGCAATACTTTCCAGGCGTATTTCTTTTCCGAATTTTTACAGCCAAAAAACCTACTTGCTTTCTTAAATTTCTTGTTCCTCTGTCCATTCTCTAAACACGAGATCTCAGCCCACAAACCTGTATATTTATTTATCATAAAATACCTTCCTTTAAAAAATCCTTTATAATGAGTGCTATCTTTTTTTGGAATTCCTTACTCATCTCAATACGAAAAACCTCTTCCTTGACTTCTTTTTAGTACCAATTATTCATCCATCTCTTCAGCATTCAATCTTCCGAATATATATAAGAATTAAATTTCATATTTGAGTGTTATCAGAAAGTGTTCATTTTACTGTTATTTTACAGTTGCCTATTTATTATTTAGGTTGATTATCAGTACAATTACTTAAACATACTGATATCTATTTATCTTTTATTTTATTTTTTTATTCATGATTATCTATTATATTAATTCGAAGTTTACATCACTCTGTAATTTAAGTATTTCTTGTCATTTTTTGCTGAATAAATGGCACTTATATGGTTAAATGTTATTATTCTTAGGAAGCTAAATTTTCAGGAATAAAATTTATTTTTCTTCTTCTTAAGCATTTGACTGCATCTAGCAATTTTGTCTACTATAATTATTATTCTTTTCTAGCTATGAAACTGGCAATGAGATTGTAGCCGAAGAGACTGGATTCGTGAAGAACTTTGGAGTCCCCGAACAGGAAATTCAAACTGCTCAGGGTTCTTACTCCTACACTGCCCCCGACGGGACACGAATAACGGTAACCTACACCGCCGACGAGAACGGCTTCATTCCTCAGGGAGACCATCTGCCAACTCCTCCACCCATACCAGCAGCAATCCAGAAGGCACTAGACTTCATCAGGTCTCAACCGGAGAACCAAGAAGCGACTGGTCCGGGTACGGTTAAGTACTGAACGTCGCAGAAATCTATGGTGGTGATCGAACTCTTAACAAAAAGTTACCAGTGAAATGTTGTGTTCCCAGAACTGAAGAATCGTGATCTGAAATATTTGAAATATCTGTCGGATTAAGTCAAATGTGATGACTGAAATTTCTTACTAAGCAAAAGTCATTAATCGAATATAAGATCCAAAAATGATAATGTTGCTCTCAACAATGTATTACTTAACAAAGTTTTCTGAATCCAAAGCTTCCTCTCAACCTCTACATTAAGTTCTTTTTTTATTGAATTTGTATCATTAAAAGATTATATTTTGTAATAAATATTTTTATATAAAGTTGGATTTATTATTTCAAAACCATATATGAATGAACTGTTTAGATGCATGAAAATTCAATTATAAATCATTAAACATAATATATTTCCATCAGGATCTCTTAGCGTAAGACATAGTTTTCAGTAGCATCCAATAATTTCAGAATGCTTCAATAGTTTAAAAATGATCAATATACAATAGTCTGAAAATTCATCAACGTAATTTCAAATCATTAAAGTAAAATATAAGATATAATTCAAACAATGGATACGAATAAAAATATATGGCTGCTGTTAGTGGAAAAGGTAGAATGTTTTTTTTTTTTTTTTTTTTTTTTTTTTTTTTATCTATTTATTGAATAATAATACAATCAGCCACTGGAGGGCTATAAGTATTAGGGCTAAGAGTTCTCATTCAAACAATATATACAAATAATAGAGAAATAAATATAAATATAAAAAGTAAATAAATAATACTGATGAAGAAAGAAAATAAAAGAAAAAAAAAATAAACAATAACATAAAAAGAAACTTATAAACACAATCATACCTATATACAATATATACATTCGCCCAAGAATCTCCGAGCCAGGCTTTTTCCCCCACATGTGGAAGGCAAAGCAAGACTCCAGGAGATTCCAGTGCCACTTTTCCAGCCGCATCACTGGTATTAGAAGCCAATGGAGACTGAAAGAGGGCACTAGAGCCACAGACGCTCGGGACATGAGTGGAGAAGCTGGCCATTGCCAGGACTCCAGAAGCATATTTACAAGAGATCTCTGGGCCACTGCCGTTTTAACCTTCGTGGAGGATTGTAGGGATGAAGGGAGCTGGATAGGGATTGAGCTAGAGGATTTGGATGATGGATAAGGTTTTGGTGAAAGTTTGAGAATCTGGTTGGGATGATGTCGAGGACAAATGGGATGTTAAGGTCATGGTGTAGGGTCTTGTTTGTGACATAATATGGGGCATTGACTATTGTTCTAAGTACTTTGGACTGGAAGGATTGGATGCGTTTGATATTCGAATGTTTAGCAGTTCCCCACAGTTCAAGTCCGTAGGTCCAGATAGGTTTCAGTATGGTCTTGTAGATTAAAAGTTTATTTTCAATCGAAAGATGGGATGTCCTACTTAGTAATCTATACAGCTGGCCATATCGTCGGTTAAGTTCTTGTCTTTTAAGTCTGGTATGTGGGTTCCAAGTTAGTCTTTTGTCAAGAAGGAAGCCAAGGTAACGGACTGTGTCTGAGTAGGGAAGTGGAATTGAATTAAAAAGGATTGACGGACAGGATCTGCGTCGCAGGGTAAAAGTGATATGTTTGCATTTTGATTCATTGATTTTGATGCGCCAGTTGTTGCACCACTGCTCAATCAAAGAGAGGTGAGATTGTAGGTTTAGAGATGCTATTTGAGGATCTGAGTGGGAAGATAGAATGGCAGTATCATCAGCAAATGTAGCTAGAAATGTATCGGGATTGGAAGGGATATCGGAAGTGAAGAGGATATAGAGAACTGGGCCCAAGACACTGCCTTGTGGAACACCAGCCTCAACTGGATAGTAAGTGGAGAATGCGGTGTCACAACGGACTTGAAAGGAACGATTTGAGAGGTAGGATTTGAGGACTAGGTATAAGGATTGGGGTAAATGGGTTTTGAGCTTGAAAAGCAAGCCATCGTGCCACACCCGGTCGAAAGCTTGTGCTACGTCCAGAAAGGCACCAGTGCAATAATGCTTGTTTTCAAGTGCAGAGGATATATGGTCCACAACACGAAGGCCTTGTTGGACAGTGGAATGTCTTGAGCGGAATCCAAACTGATGAGAAGGGATGTTGTGGGATTCGATTATGGGTAGGATGCGTTTGAGAAGGATTTTCTCAAAGATTTTTGAGAGGATCGGGAGTAAGCTTATCGGTCTATAGGATGATGTGTTATTAACAGGTTTACCTGGTTTTGGAAACAGGATGATTATGGAATGTTTCCACACCAAAGGAAAGTTGGTTGTGCGAAGGATGCAGTTGTATAGATAGGTAAGGAATATGATTGCTTTTTTGGGAAGTTGTCTGAGGATTTGTGAAGTGAGGAGATCATATCCAGGGGATTTTCGGGGTTTTAATTTGTTTATAAGGAATTTGACCTCAGAGGGGTTTAACAGGTTTTGGAGGTAGAGAGAGAGGAATTGGTGAAGAGAGGAATTCTTCAACTTCAGCAGTGTGGCTGGGATGGAGTTCGGGGTGAGGGGTGAATGTGTAGGATAAATGTTTAGCAAACTCCTCTGCTCTATTCGCATCTGACGAAGCCCAGGAACCATCATCACGGCGAAGTGGATGGGAAATGGACTGGAATTTAAGGATTTTTTTGGTTACGTTCCAGAGGGAGTTATCACTAGCGGATAATGAGGAGAGGTAGGAATTGTAGGATTGGGTTTTAAAAGTTTCCAGTTTCTTTTTTACCTGTTTGGAATAATAATTATACGATTTCCGGTCATCAGGATGCCTAGTTCTTTGCCAAAGGGTCCTAGAGCAACGTTTGCTATGGATTAGGTCCAATAGATCTTGAGGTAAAGGATTTATGTTATGGTATTTTTTGGGACGATCAGGTGAGGATGCAGTCCAAGCTGCTTGCTGGATCAGGGTAGTGAAGGAATGCACTGCATCGTCGAGGTCTTCAGGTGTTTTTAAGGAAACTCTGAGGTCAATATTATCTTCCAGTATTTGACGGAAAAGGTTCCAGTTAACTGGCCCCCTGATAAATGAAGGTGGGGATGATTTGGGAATGGGAGATGTGGAAACGGTTAGGACTAGAGGACTATGGTCTGAGGAAAGATCATCAAACCTTGAAATAGAACAGTGTAGTGATCCTAGACCTTTGTGGAGGAAAAAGTCTAGAAGGTCGGGATTGCGGTTGGGATCTGTTGGCCAGTATGTGGGTGTATTAGGTGAAAGGATGTTGCTGCGATGGGAATTAAGTGCAGATAGCAATGTTCGGCCTCGGGAATTTGTGGATCTGGCTCCCCATTGCTGGTGTTTTGCATTTAGATCTGCACCTAGGAGGAAGTGGTGTCCTAAGGAATTCAGGAAGGAAATTATTTGGGATTCGGAAATGGGTGTTTTAGGTGGGGAATATGCCGCAACTAGTGTTATTGGGTAAAGGGGTGTTTGGATTATTACGGCTGTGGATTGTAGGAAATTATGGCTTGGTAAGGGAAACAAATGATGGGAAACGGATCGATGGATAATTATGGCAGTGCCACCATGTGCTGTTCCATCAGGATGGTCGGTTCGATAAATATTGTAGCCGGGCACGTTGATTTGTCGTTTGTTGGTTAGTCGAGTTTCAGTTATTAGTGCTATGTCGATGTTTTTGTCATGTAATAAGATTGTCAGTTCGTTGATGTGGTTCCGAATACCATTCGCATTCCAGAGGAGAATGGAGAGGAATTTGGTTGAGGACATTTATGGATTTCTTGGCAGTGGAATGAGGTTGGATATAACATTGGTAAGTAGCGAAATAAGGGGGGTAATGAGAGATCTAAATTCGGAAAGGAAAGATGTCAATAGGCTTGTGAGGTCAGTGGAATTGGAAGGAGGAGGAATGATGTTGAGTATTTAACCTACGGTTCGGGATGGTGTGGGATGGGTGGGGGTGGGTGGTTGGAGGTGGGTTTGGAGGGGGATGGGAAGGTGTGGGTGGGGGTATGGGGAGAAGGGGTTATGAGGTGATGTGGTATAGAGGAAGGGATAGGGGAGTGTGGGGGGGAGGGGGGGAAGGGGTGGAAAGGAGGAGAGTGAGGGGAGGTATGGAGGGGGGGATTTGAGGGGGTTGGGGTATTAAAGGGGTGGGGAGGGGGAAGGGGGGATGTTTAGATGTAGGATGGGTTGGGAGTGTAGGAAGTATGAAGAGGGGGGGGGGGAGATAATATAAGATATATGAGTGTTGGGTGTATTGTAAGGGAGGTGGGAATGTTGAAGGGATGGTGGGATGGGTTAGTGGGAGAGAGGGAGGGTGGAGGGGAGTATTATTAGAGGGTGTTGTTTGGAGGGGTAAGGGGTGTGGGGGAGTATGAGGGGGAGGGATTGGGATTAGTTGTTGTGGGTTGTGGTGGGGTGGGGGTGGAATGAGGGGAGAGTGAAGAAGGTTTGTGGGATAGTGAGGAGTTATGGTTGAAATGTAAAGGTAGAGGAGGGGTGTGATGAGGGGGAGGTGTGGGGGATGGAGGAGGTGTTAGTAAAGGTAGAAAGAGAGGGTAGATGGGTGTAGGGGGGTTGATGAAGGGGGGATTGTTTGTGGGTGTTGGTGGAGTGTTGGGAGGTGTGGAGGATGGTTAGGTGGGATGGGGGGAGGAGGGGATGTTTGTGGGAAGTTAAGTAATTGTTGATTGGTGTATATGATTGGTTTTTGGTGTTTGTGATTATATTTGGTGGGGGTTTGGGTTCTCTGGGGATGGATGCTGCTTCCATTTGTTCGTTGTTTATATTTGAAAGCACTTCAAATGGATTCGAAGTGAAAAACGGCGATTCTTCACCCATAGTTTGAGTTGTCTCATAATTGTTGGGTTGTTGTGAGGAGCCAGGTTGGGGTTCCACTTCTTCTATGGAGCTCCCTGGTGTGGCTGGTGGAGTGTTTCTTTTCGAATGCCTCGTCTTTTTTTTAATGGGAGAACTAATTGTAGTATCCAGGCTCCTGGACCTAGTGTTTTTGCCCTTACTCGACATTAGCATGTGATAATATCGCATTTCATATTTATTTTTAAAAGAAAAATTGATAAAAGTGAAGAGAGGAAAAAGAAAAAAATTTTATTGAACACGAAAATATAGACGCGCTCTTGGAGAGCACAGATCTGCCTCCGACGGAGGGATCTAGCCCACTGGTATTAACGACTGTTGCAGCTTATGGCTGGCCGTTATCTAACTAACCTAAGGTCTATTTACACTGTTCACTCTTGTGTTGTAAATAAGTGATTACTCACCTTATTTTTTTTGTCCAGTATAAACGTAATTGTTAATGTAACTGATAGCACTA